TAATAAGACAGATAACAATAACATTTAAATAATGATAATAATAAATAAGTTTAATCATACCCTTCGCATTAGTGGTCGATGATAATAAATTTAAAAATACATAGACAATTCAACAGATGTTGCAAAAGGATTTTATTGCAGCTCATATAAGAGTGAAAATTATACAAAGTTACAAGGTACGCAATAAATACTAGATGAAATATATGAAATACTTAGAAGTAGAGCCTCCTCTCAAGCCCGTGCTTTCCAAACCAGTCTGTCTGGCTCTCGCGGTACTTGCGGGGAACAAACTTCATAGCCCAATCCAGGACTACCAGCACAAACTCGTCATCTAAACTATTCTAGGCGTCCCTCATCTTGGTTGACTGATCGTAACAAATGTGCTTTCCAAGCGTTAACATTTTTCTTTGATTGCACCATGATAAATTTCATTTCTTCTTTGCTTTCTTGTGGTATATCAACTTTCTCGAGAACAGACTATCTGGCTTACAGCAGCTGGAAACAGGGTACAGCGTTCACAAACTGAATCATGTTGATGATCACAACAGCTCAAATATTGTGGATCGCTGGGGTCACTCAATGCAAAAATCCTGCAGTGATCTGGAACTTGCGAGCTTGAAGACACATGYACCTGTAAAAAAATACCAATCCTGGTTTACTTACAGAATCATTATATTGATTTTGATTAATTCAGCATTTTTTTAATACTAATACAAAAATGCAAGAAATGTTGGCGTTACGTTGTTTACTGAAATGTGTAATGTTGTTGCTCATTTTACCACTAAACAGTGTTAGTAAGACGATAGAATACGCAAAGTCTATCGATATTTAGTACTGAGCTATTTATGTTGTGTATTTCATCTCTTGCATACTAAGTTGTATGATATTTTAGTATTTAGAGGACTAAAAAAGTTACCTTATAGTCCCCTTTGAGGTAGCGTTTTGCTTGTTTCAGTTTGTGTGTTACATCTTTTGACCATGACAATCCATTTTCACAATAGTCACCAAGTTTATCCACAACTTCCACAATATCATCGAAGGCTTTTGCGCCATCTGAAAAGAAATAATCAAGACCTTGAAGAGATGTGTGCAACGACGCGGAGCAAACTTTTAGCACCCTGCAAAGACTGCTTCTACTCAACGGAGATGAGAGCTCCTCACAATGATTGAGGTACTGTTTTACGATCTGTTCTGGTATTGACGTTCGGATGACGTTTGGTATCTTAATTTCGCCTCCCGTCGACAATTTCAAAGTCTTTTCTCCGTATGGTAAATCTTGAACTACTCTGGAGCTCGAAATAAATGCCAGGAAATGATCTAGTTTTTAGACACCTTCAAGCAGAAAATAAGTATTATTTTAATAGCTTATCATATATTATATCTGACTTATTTAGCATAACGTAGCCYCCGTCCACCCAACTTTACTTCTTGGAAGGTTTTGAGCTATATTGGATATTTCAAATGCAACAAAGTGCGTGCGTGCGTGCGCAAATTTCTATTTTTTAAAATTGGAAAACGCTTAGTTATATTTTTTATTTTTCTCACGCTCTTTTCTTACATAATCATTTGTAAGATTTGCATAGCCAAAGCTTAGAAATAGGTCAGTATTACCTTTGATCTTATTTACTTTTGAAGAGGAACTTCAGCACCTCTGCCATGCGGAAGAAGGTGGTGCCTTGCGATATTGTACCGATATCTAGAAATATCAGGCAGCCATATAGATAATACTTGTCTGCGGCTACTCCAATGGTTTGAGTTTTCGTAACACTCAACAAGAACTTCTAGTAGCGTTGAATCCATATCATCGCTCAATTTACCCGTGGCTTGAATTGCATTCCGCAGTTTGTTTGCATTTTGGRGTGAGATCTCTTTGAGAGCTGTGGAAACAACTTGTTTCGCCTTTCGGATGTAGTGTCGCTTTGTTCGATCTGCGGCTACATCCCACGATACGGCCATGGATGTTCTTATATATATATCCCTTGGTGCAAGAAACGAATTAAGCATTTCTTTGGGTGTTTTCTTTACCTCAGGTGATTCGTCCTCAAGTTGCGTCATGTCCGAGCAATGCGAAAACGCTGAAGGTGTAAAGACCATTGACGTTACTTCACTTCGAGGAGTTTCTGGAACTGTCATTTTCTCAGGTGTCTTAAAGATCACTTCATCTGTGTCCTCCTGTGATATAAAAAAATCAATACGTAAATGGAATGGGATGGGACGGAACGAAATCTGAAGAAATGGAATATAATGAATAATATGTTGAATAGCGTGAAAGAAAAAAAAAACAAAATAAAGCAATGAATGAAAGTAATACAAATAAAAATGTTATATGGAATGGAATAAAATCTAATGAGAAGAAATATATAGAATTGAACGAAAAAGCAAATGAAAAAAATAATTGCATGAGATAACTTGATATGCTGATTACTATCCAAGAACATCAAAATTACTTTGCAAAGTTGTGAATAATACCTGTAGCGTTGCCTCCCTAAATTTTGTCTCCAACTTATCTACTTCTTCACTATGCGACAACGGTTTTATTTTCTCGCGACATTTTCGACAAATTGCTAAAAAGAGGACAGACAGACAGTGTTAAATTATTTCATAAATAGAACAGGGTGTGTCACAACAGTGTACGATATAGCATCTTTCTTTTTTATTAGCAAGTGTTACCTTCTCTAATATACTTTTTTTGTCAATCTGGCATAATGGTAGGATTTAGTTGATTATCGAAGATAAATGTTAACAATAGTCGATAGCATTTCTCAATTACTGACTTAGATATAAATGAATAGTGAATAATACTGAACATAGTTTTTTCCTCTAGTTTATAAAACTAAAAGACAGAATGGGGTTATTGGGCATTGAAATAATTGATTAGGTCAAAGGTCTTGTGTTCTATGTTTGTTTGTTTGTTTGTTTGTTTTAATAAAATCGTTTTCAGCCAATTAGATTACGCATTTGGACTAGAGTATTTTTTAATCCAAAGTAAAAGCAATGGATAAATAAACAAGGTGAAGAATGAATAATCAAATTACCTGAGCCAGCTTGAATAAAGACGCCAGTTTCATTTTAGTCCAGGAGCAAATGTCAGAAAATAATATCCCGTGGGAATTTAGTGATGAAAGCAAACCACCAGTCTAGAAGTCTTCATAGGACCCTAACGAACATAAAAAGTTTTGATGGCAACTTTGTAACATGTTGGGAAGCAATTTWGGGGGGTTCTAAACTGTGCTCTATGGAATCCAGCATGAAAACGAGGCTTGAACACAAAAGTGCTAATAACTTTGCAATATTTTAACCAAATCAAACCAAACTCGCAAGCAGTATTGCCCTGTATGTTCTTCTTAATTTGGCATGTTTCGACGGTATAATCACGTGACCTAATTTGCATGAAAACGAGGCTGCATCCAAAAACGAAATTATATCGATGCCTGTTAAGCCAAATCACGCCAAACCTACACACATAACTGCAATTTGTATCTTATTGCAATCTGTCTACTTTGACATGATTTAGGACAATGGGATGACCTGACTTYACATAAATAAAAGAGTCATCTCTAAAGGATATCTCTAAATCTTATAGGCCTCTCTCAAATATTAACTACCTATGTGTTATTTTGTTTGGCTKATTTCTATATAACCAAATGTGTCTGCACTTACCAARTTATGCCAAATTACTGAACTGAAGATCTTGATAGCATATTATTCAAAAGAGGTACTGTTTCATGTTATTTTTTTTCAATATGTACATTACAGTGTATTTGCATAGAAATTCTTCAAACAAAGTTGGACAGTCCACTAACATGGTGTTTCATCACATAGCTTCATAGTTTAATTCACCTCACATCAATTCAGTCTTATTTCTTGGTTTTGAAATCTTGGTAGCTTTGTTATATATTTTTTTCTCAATAGCCGTCTGCTTTTGTGAATTTTCCTCATTCATAAGAATGCAGGGCATGTTTTGTATCATTTTTTGTTCTTTTTTTGTAGCTTATTTTGTTTTGTTTTTTCTTTTTGTTTTGTCTTTTTTGTCTGTTTTTCTTTTCTTTTCTTTTCTGATATTTCTTTCGACATCTAGGTCTCYCTAGATCATCTACAGTCATTTTGACTATCTTCATCATCATCAGGATACTCTGTCTCATCTTCATCTTCTTGGTAGTTCTCACAATTCTCTGAGTCAGAACAACCACAGATGTCTGTGCAGCAAAGGTTAGCCTTGCGAYACTGACAACGGTTTGTTGTACAGCGTTCCTTCGAACACCCACATTTGACCAACTGAATTATGGCTTTTGGTGCTGGAGGGTTRGTTGTCATAACTGGTAGCCATTCATCTCCAGACMTTGACCATCCATAGTYAGCAGGATCTGGTAGCTCTGGGTTTGGAATAATGTCGGCATTCCAAACTATCATCTGATAATGGGCTCGGAGAATAGCTTGTTTTAATGCAGCCTTTGTTGGAGGTAACCTCTCTGACTGTGCCTGTTTCTTTTTAAACAGGATCCATCTTAGTTCTTTGRCAGTCTTGACATCAGTACCAGATGCATATATCTGGCAAMCAAACTCTTCAATGCCTCTAGATGTATCCTCGTCCAGTACGGTATTCACTCCAAGGTTGCTAAGGGCTGAAATCACTGATGGATTGGATTCTTCAAAAGCTTTCCAGCAACTCTGCTTTGCTTTCCCTGAAAAACTTCCAGTTACATCTGCTCCAGTAAAGGCATGGAATCCAGGTAGTGCTGACKTTTTTGCTGGGCCAAGCGCTGTAACGATTGGACGTAGATGGATGGTGCGCAGGTTATTCCCTTTCCCAGTGACAAAAGATGTGTTTGGGCAGAGTACAGGATAGCGTYTTATTGCTAGTACAAAAACGTCTGTGTCTGGTGAATGAATGTATAGCTCAGTAGCCCCATTATCTGTGGCATCAACTGCATGTAAAATTATTTTGGTGTCTGCTTCCTCTTGGTTACTGTTGATGTCGCTCATGTCCTTTTGCGTTCCTTCACATACACTTCCCCAGGCAACTACAAGATTCTTGTTACGCTCTCTGGCAATGACTAAAATCTTCTGTGAGAGGTATGCAGTCAATTCCATTTTTGTCTTGGTGTGTGCAAGAAGTTTCTTCATTTGAAGTCTGCCTATATGGGTAGAATCTGTAATGTGGTAGTACACTGGCTCTTGGGTGCCTTGTCTTCGAACTCTTGTGGCACTTTTCAACGATGCTGGAACATCGTACCGATCAAATATAACACGGACTTCGTCACTSCTATGGTACTTTGCTAGGATTCTGGTTGTAAAGTGATCAGCTAGGTCAGAGCAACTCGTTATCCACTGAGGTTTGTCGAGAGATTGCAGCTCTGCCATTCCATCTACAACGTCAACTCTGTGTGCTACGCCTGAAGTGTCATAGTCGTCGCAGGAGGTGTCATCTTTGTGCTTCTCAAGAATGTGCATCAGACTGCTCTTTGYCGAACAATACAGCATAGTACCATCAGCACTAAATAACGACCTTGGAACTACAGAGAACTCATAGGTCCCCACAGCTTCCTTGATATCAATTTCCGGGCGGCTTTTGCTTACCAGCATCATTCTTGCAAAGAGAGATCGATCCTCTTGCAACTCTACTACTTTGTCTCCAGCTTTGATCTTTGTCTTCTTACTTAAGCTCTTCCAGGTTAATAGCTTTCTCTTCTTGATAGGAGACCAAAGGTTTACTTCCGCTTTCTTGATTCGCTCATCAACAAAGGTTTYAAACAGCTTTCTGCCAATTTCCTTCTGCTCAAGTAGATCTTTCTTCACATTTTCAGGCATCACCACTTTGGTAACAATGTTGAAGAGATCAGTACTTCCATAAGAAAACGGATTGGTAAAGTTCTTTACMGTCATTGTCATTTTTGTGACATCCTTTTCTTCTTGTTGCATCACTGCTGTTGACAATTCATGATGGTGCTTTTTTGTATCTGCAGACAATCCTGCCATATCCTTGGCTTCTTCAGATAGCCGTGCAAGCTCAGGGGCGATCAAAAAGAACTTTGTTCTTGCAGCTTCATTTAGAGTGATACCAATCAGCCCTCCAGACACTTTCATTGAGCGGTTGATATGTTCTAAAGCATGATCTGCTCCAATAGCACAAAATGGGACACTTTCATTTTTGTTGACAACCCAGTTACCTACTTCGAATTCTTTGTATATCTCAGGGTCGGATGACTTCAAGGACGACATCTCTGCAAGATATAATGGGATCATCCGTGCATAATGTATACGATCGTGTGYGAAGAAGTATTTCGTAAAAACCTCCAGTGTCCTAAGATGCATTTCCCATTCCCCTGTGCGAACAGCCTTGATGAATGCCAGCATTTCTGCAATCATGCGCATATAATGAATCRTGACTTGAAAAAGGGGGTTGCTCTTGTTTTCATCGTCAAATTTGGACATCTTTTCCATAAGACCAATAGAATCGACTTTACTTATCAACTTTGTCTTGTTTGCTTTGTAAAGTTGAGGACTCTTACTGGTATCATGGATTACAGGATGTAGATCTTCGTAAACTTCTTGTTCATGTTCAAAGAAGGCTTCCAGGTATAGCGTAAAGAGTGCTTGCAATGTTGTTACATGAGCTTTTATACCTCTCTTTACGTGATTGCCATCGAGGATTTGCCTTACAGTGCTGKGCCCATATAATTCTGCTTCAATCCAACAATGGTCAAGGCCACTGCTCTCGATGTATCTTGCAATTGTTCTTAGCAGTGCCATTACGATGTGGAGCTCACCAGGACGGAGTATTAAGTGCTGAAGATCATTTCGTGCTTGTAATCGTTTGGCCTCTAAAATTAAAACGCGGTTCACTTTAGCATGCATATTATTTGTCTAACCTTATGGACCAAGGAATTAGATCCAGACCATCCAGGAATGTGTGATTGTTCATTGGCACTGATGGTTGTCTCTTGCGTTGTACTACTACTGTGAAGCGTATGGGTGCGGGCCAGAAGCCATGCAAAGTCATCTCTATTAACAATTATTGGAAGGTTCTCTTCTTCAAGGAGATTGAAGTTTGGGTGAGCATGGCACTTTGGGTTTGAAGGTGGCGCTGGGCACTCGAGTAATGCGGTTAAAGACTCAGGTATTTCTTTGATTGACCGCGTAGAATTTGTGAATTTGTCTAGACTGCAAATTMAGAGAATAGTTCTAGATGTATAAGTAATTTTAAATGAGGTTCTACCATACATTATGACTCACCATAACGATGGTGTATCATCTTCTGGCTTCGACTGCTGRTAAATCGCCATGGCTGCCCCATGAAGTGTGCGTTTACCGTCATGAGTATCTTCTGAGAAATCTACATTGTCAACAGCAAAATATATGTGTCTCCCTCTTACGATGTCTGGAGGAATATACAGCCCTCTATCATTCTCCATCTGTTTGATCACGTGCTTTTCTATTTCTGTTTCGACTCTTAAAAGGCGATTGTATTCAACGGATAAACCAAATCCATGCAGCAAGTTAATCATTTYTTTGTTCCTAGTTGAATGATGAACAGCAAGACCTACTGCCAACTGCTCGGGCATCTCACGCGTGACGTTGATAGTTTGGGACTTSTTGTTTTGGGCTTGTCGTTCAGTCAGGCACATAGATACTGTACTTTGCGCTAGATGCATTGCCCTTCCGTGAATTTCAGTGTCTTTGTCATTAGATAGTGTAGAAATCGGGCCTTTGATAACCCACCTAAAAAAGCAATAGAGCTCTTCTGGTAAATTCTCACTATTTAATGAATCAAGTGAGCCAGAGAAAGACCACTTATGGCTTTTGTTTATACTCTTCCTGAGTACCAAAGCTGCATCATACAAGGTCTTCATTTTACTTGTGCAGCTACCCTCTGCATCTTCAGATAGTTGAATASCAATATCACGCGTCTTTTTGATRCTTACTCTCTCAGACTCATTCATCCTTTTGGGTTTGTGAAACTCAATGTCCTTGATTTCGCTCTTTAGTAACTCTTTAATTGCTTTGCGGCCTTCTTTGTAAATCTTCACATTATTTTCATGGCAAATGCTTTCATATGCAGACTGTAAATCAGTCATGTTAACAATTTTGCCACTGTTCAATGTAATTTCTGTCATTGTTATGAACTCCAGTTTTGCTCCTATGACACTTGCATGCTCTTGAGGAACTTTTTTCTGTTCGTCGGGTCTACGTAGAACATTTGAAACATTGTTAGCCCAACATTTCTTGTGATATCTTATATCTATAGCATGGGCATCTTTGCTATTAACAGCAGTAGAGAGCTTGACTAGTAGTTTTTCGTCTTGCAGTTTCCTTATAGCGGTATCCAATGAGTCACCAGCTGAAAATGTAGTTACCTTGTGGAGTGGTTGTCGGTACATTTCCTCTCCACAAAAAAAGCATACTTCCTTGCTGTAAGGGGTTGTCTTCGAACGTGTCAATGGTAAATCTGACTCTCCCTGACTGGTTTTTCGCCTACTAGGACCAGACAGCTCTCTCTCGTATCTCTCTTTTACTCGTTTTAGCATTCCTGAGTGGGTCGTTTCCAGATAACAACTTCGATGCCATGTCACTTTGTCTCTTACTTCTTCTAGAGCGAGGTCTTTTAAAACAGACCATACTTCATACARTTTAACATCACCACAATGTGAGCGTATCTGAATGGCTTTTAAAAGATTTTCGTGTGATGTTGGTTTCTTAATTAGTTCTTCTTCACCTATAGTCTGACAAATTATGCATACATCRAAATCAAGCGCCTTTTTCACATACAAATCTGTCATATTCACTCTTTGCTTTCTCTGTAAGTAAACATGGCGGCTCTGTATTKTAATGTTGGCAACTGCTGACCAGTACTAGACTCGCTTTCATGCAAATTGCTTTATTTCATCAAAAAAAAAACATGAAAAACAGTATGACTCGAAAATGAATGATAATTGCTCGTTTATGCATAATTTGATTTAGCAACTGAAGTATTATAACTATGATTTATTTTATATTTATAATTATGATGTGAGATATATATCATCACACATATGTAAATTACGTCACGTGATCACAATGACCTAAATCACGTCAAAATTACAGGGATACCGAGTACACTTTTATATGTGGGTTTGTCTTTGATTTGGCTTAACCTGTATCAAGRCGATAGCGTTTTTTGGATGCAGCCTCGTTTTCATGCAAATTAAATCACGTGATTATACCCCCCAAAAAATATGCCAAATTAAGAAGAACATACAGGGCAATACTACTTGCGAGTTTGGTTTGATTTGGTTAAAATATTGCAAAGTTATTAGCACTTTTGTGTTCAAGCCTCGTTTTCATGCTGGTTTCCATAGGGCAGAGTTTAGAACCCCTCTAAATTGCTCCCCAACATGTTACAAAGTTGCCATCAAAACTTTTCATGTTCGTTAGGATCCTATGAAGACATCTGGCTTAGTGGTTTACTTTCATCACTAAATTCCCACGGGAATGCACTTGCTCCTTGACTATTTAGCAAAAACTCCGACTCGAGCTTTCCAATGCCTCTTTCTCCTTTCGGCCAGCTTTTCTTCTTGTGTCCATGGTTTGAAATGACAGGTGGCACTCGACAACGGGCGCTTGAGCCTCTCGACCACCCTAAACCCAACCTTCCGCGGTGGAAAGGACAAATTGTCATTGAAGCTACATCATTAGGTCGCGAAAATATGGAAGCTCGACAAAGAATCAGATCAACTTCGTTTTCAGRTCCAGAGAAGGAATACAAAGACTTGTGGTTTGCGATATCCAACGAACATGATAGTAATGGAATAACTTCCAGTTGCTGTAACTTATCTCTAGTATCAACTCCACAAACRCCTCCAACAATATTCTTAAATGAACAGCAAACCTCCATTATCGACTAGATGCTCTAACTAATTAAGTCGAGTTATAAAACTGTGTTTTGATAAAGCGAACGTCAATCAAAGTAGTGTTGCAGTAAAACGTCAGAGTCGCGGCATTGACAGCAATGACTTACGAAATGTTTGTAGCTTTAGATAGAAAAAAAGGGGAAAGAGTGTGTTACTATAAATTATGTTTGTAATTTGCGATAGTTTACTAGAAAAATTATCAACCATTTACCATTTACCATTCAAAATGCAAGTGTTTGTGATGGGTTCCCTGTGGTAAGCAAAGTGTTGGCAAGTTGCCAGTAATTAAGACACGATGCATGTTGTTTATGTCTGCAAAACTTATTATCAAAACATCATATTTCAACAAAAGAAAGCCTTTAAACAGCTTAAGAGGGTAAGAATAAGTTTTAAACTAATGGGATAAGGCAATTTAAAGCATTTAAAACGAAGATTATGGCGTATTCGATTCCAGTGTTTTAACAGTGTTTTAAAAGCCTTTCGGCTTTCACCGAAATATGTAAATTTATGCATTTTGAACCAAATTTAATGAGCAATAGCGTAGCACAGGATCATTTGCCCAGAGATTTCTCTTCGAAAGTCGAAAGTACATTTATACAACGAGGTCTCATCAGATTTTTGAGTAATTTAAAGGTTTCGCAGAGTTGCAGTCCTAGTTTTTGTAAGTAGTACTTAAATAAATAAAATACTATGCATGATAGATAATATTGTTTAAAATACTTAGAATCACGCAATCGACTCCAAAATCGCCCAGAAGGTTGATCATGTAGTTTATAATCATAATCTAAAGCGTTTTAGCTGTCAGCATTTCTCTATTCTTACAAAATYACTCTTAAACTTGAGTCGCGTTTGACTGTTGAAATTGGCTATTCCGAGTCGTCTGCTCAAAAGTGCGTTTTTCTTCTTTTTTAAGCGGAATTTTTTTAAATCAAACACACAGTGATACTTGGAAAGATTACCCTAGCTTACTACAAAATATGAGCCAAATCGATTTTTGACGGTTTGCCGCTAGTTTTTTTTTCTTAAATATTTGCGGGAATGTAACAAGAAAAGACCAAGTTTCAAAATAGACACTTTGTTGTTTTGTAAATGTAATTTCACTTCAGTCACGTAGCTTATAGCGTTAATTTATAAAATAGCTCAATAATAGTAGTTTATTAGACGACTGAACAGTTTGAAAAGGGAATTCATAAGATATGCTACATTAACCCTACAATCTGTGGACCTGACTGAAATAGTTTCTTTAAAAAACTTCAATAATATTTAGACCTCTCCACAGTACCAGAAGGAATATGTGAGCGGTCTTACATTGATCCTACTATATGGGTACCTGAGTGCAATGCCTTCGTATCAAAACACTTTGAAAATAGCTCAAAGTAGTAGTAGCTTATGAGATCAGTCATCAGTACAAAAAGGAATTCATAAGAGATCCTACATTAACCCCACAATCTGGACCTGGCTGGAATGGTTTCTTTTTAATAAAGCTTAAAGAGTTCAATATTATTTAGACCTCTTATTTAGTACCAATAGGACTTCATAGGAGATCCTACATTAACCCTACAATCTGTGAACCTGACTGGAATTATTTCTTTTTAAAAAACTTTTAAAGTAGTGCGATATTACATTTTAGACCTCTCCACAGTACCAGAAGGAATACGTAAGAGATCCTACATTAACCCTACAAAATGGGTACCTGCGTGGAATCCTTTCTTATCAAAAAGGAAAAAAAAAAACACTTTTCAAACACTTTGAAAATAGCATTGA